CCCAAAGAACTCATCGTATTGCAGAGACACTTGTACATCCATGTTTGTTGCTGCTCTTTTCACAATAGCTAAGAGATGGAAGCAACCTAAGTGTCCCTTAATTGACAGGTGGATAATGAAAATGTGGTTAATTTATACGATGGAGTTTTACACAGCGATAAAGAAAGACGAAATCATGAAATTTGCAGGTAAATGGATGGAACTAGAAACTGTTATACTAAGTGAAGTAACACAGACTCAGAAAAAAAAAAAATCGACATATGTTCTCCCTCATATGTGGATCCTAGAACCAGACTCTGATAAGTAAGTATACAAGCAGACATGACTACAGGAACCAGGATAATGGAAAGAAAACAGGGAGGCAAAGGAAAAGAAAGAACCTGAAAGAGAAGAACAGTTGGAAACAGGCCTTAATAAGGGAGATATGGATAAAAATTGGGTTGGTTAAGGGAGCGGGGAGGGAAGGGTATACAAGGAACCTAGGGGATAAAGGGAAAGAAGGAGCTCAAGAGAGGTAGGAGAAGGGTATTAGTAAGGGAGAAAGGGGGGAAATGGGGGCACCTTAAAGTGGGAAAACCATGATGGAGGGTTGAGACAATGTGAGAGATAAACAATGCCTAGCTAGTTTTGAAAACCAGAGGGAACCATATTACTCCTACACCCTACTGACAAATTATACATAGCAGATCAAGAAATATATGTCTAGGTAAGGTTTATCTGAAAACAACTGGTCTTTGCCCAAGATTTATCTACATGACACACAGTAATTAAAAATACCAGACTGGTGGAACTAACCTTCTTGGGTGTTTAACAGACATACTTTGGGGCCTATAATAATTTGGTCAGAGGGACATAAAGGATGCTTTTTGCTCCTAGCTCTCCTAGGTCAACTAGTTCCAGGGGACTATGAGCATCTCTCAAAATGCCCTGTAATTGTGGTGGGTCACCTGTCCTCTGGATCAAGGAGGCCTAGGAGACCCCACCAGATGGACTAGAACCAATGTCCAGTCTACAAAGAGGAGGGTCAACACAGAGGAATTTTTTCCTCCATGCTTCCAAGTGAAGCCAACCATGGTCAAGCAGGACCTTTGACTTATCTTCACATAGGTGGAACTGGTAAAAGAAAGGAGCCAGGGGCTCCTCCCAAGCCCATGTGACCCCTGAGGAACAGATCCCCAAACGACCTTAAGAGTAAAAATAAATCGGTTTATCTGGTCCAACTGCATGGCCTTAAATGCCCCAAAGGAAAGTATAACCAAAGGGGCCAATTAAAGGGGCCAATATAATTTCATGAGTCCATATGTATAGCTAAAGGCTACATAACAAGCAACAATGCCAGAAAGGCGATACCTTCTTCTGAGTTGTTGGCCAGGGTGGTCAAAGGGGTTCCCAGATAGTAACTCAGCATAGAACTGGGAAAATGAACAGCAGACCCCAATCTTATCCAAAGGAATATTGACAACTGATTACGGCTAGATGAGGAACAGCTGACCCTCTTAAAACAAAGACCTCTAGATAGGCTGACTAGATTCACCAGAAGGGCAAGTAGTGGGGAATGGCTGGGGGTGCCGACAACATAGCAGACAGTAGCAGGGATATCAGAGTATAAGGGCTCTAGTCGGGGGGAGGGAGGCTATTGGGAGTGCTATCTGGGAAGTAGGTGTAAAAATAAAGTTTTAAAAAGTTTAAAAAATAATTCTTCAAAGCATAAAAATTTGCTCCTTAATAATTGGTGTAAATGTGCATCTCAGTGTCAATTGTATTGAACATGAATTTTTTGGTATGAAACTGTGTATTTTAATAGTGAAATGGAGATCTTTTTTAAAAGTACAAAACATTTAATTTTATGTCTTATAGGGTTTATACTGAGTACAATATTGTATAACTGTACTAATTCACCTGTAAACCTAAAAATTTACAGCCAATTTTGAAGGTGGTGCATTTTAGCTCTGGAAATTGTTATTGAATATGTCAATGCTGTTGTAATGAAATGCTTCTTCTAATTATGTGGTTATTAAATAATAATTTTTAAAAAATGTAATAGGATTTTTTGGACTTTTTTTTGAAACAGGGTCTCCCTGTAACCCCAGCTGGCCTGGAACTTGCTATGTAGACCAGGCTGG